ATTCTATTCTATTCTATTCTATTCTAGTCTAGTCTAGTCTAGTCTAGTCTAGTCTAGTCTAGTCTAGTCTAGTCTAGTCTGTAATTCTGTTCTATTCTATTCTGTAATTCTATTCTATTCTATTCTATTCTGTAATTCTATTCTATTCTATTCTATTCTATTCTATTCTGTAATTCTATTCTGTTCTATTCTATTCTGTAATTCTATTCTATTCTATTCTATTCTATAATTCTATTCTATTCTATTCTATTCTATTCTATTCTATTCTATTCTGTAATTCTATTCTGTAATTCTATTCTGTAATTCTATTCTATTCTGTAATTCTATTCTATTCTATTCTATTCTATTCTATTCTATTCTATTCTATTCTATTCTATTCTAATTCTATTCACACGATAGCAGTATTCCAGTATCTGAGGGGCTGCCACAAAGAAGAGGGGGTCAAGTTATTCTCCAATGCACCAGAGGGCAGGACGAGAAACAATGGTTGGAAACTAATCAAGGAGAGAAGCTGGAAACTAATTAGGGAGAAACTTCCTAACTGTGAGGACAATCAACCCGTGGAACAGCTGGCCTCCAGAAGTCGCGGGCGCTCCATCCCTGGAGGTTTTCAAGAAGAGACTGGACAGCCACTTGACTGAGACGGTGTAGGTTCTCCTGCTTGAGCAGGGGGCTGGACTAGAAGACCTCCAAGGTCCCTTCCAGCGCTGGTCTTGAAACGTCCAGTTGCACCCCCTCTCTGTATCCGCCCCCCCGCCGACTGCTCTGTGCCGTCTTTGGCAAATGCGGCAGGCTGTCCCCTGCGGAGCGCACATCAAGCACATCAATTGCTTTGACTGCGAGTAAGATTAAAAGCTCTTTGAAGAGACTCGGCTATTAGAGGGAAGACACACAGCGGTAAAAAGCTCCTTTTTATTGATCCAGCACCCGGTTCAGCTCTGTATCAAAAAGGGGAATACCAGCAGATTTTAATGGGAGGCTGGTATTAGGGCCATACCAAATTTTTCCATATTATCCCTAAAGGAGACCCCAAGGATTATTGCGGTAGAACTCAATTTAACACCACAAGGGAGACTAAAACTTTTCATTGTTAAGCCGCGCCCAGTTTTAGCACCTTTCTTTTGAAGCGGTTGTTAAGCAAATCACTGCAGTTCTTAAGTGAATCAGAGTTTACTTGACTGTGGAGACGGTGAGTTCCAGTTCCACCATAGCCGTGACAGCCGACCGGGTGACTTTGGGTCAATCTCCAGGAGACAGTGAGTTCTAGTTTCTCCTTAGCCATGAAAGCCGACTGCTCAAGTATTTGAAGGATACTGAATAGAATAGAATAGAACAGAAAACATAGAATAGAACAAAATAGAATATAAAATATAAAATAGAAATAGAAATAGAAATAGAAAATAGAATAGTTCTGGGCAAGAAGAAAACTCCTTACCAACTATAGCAAGGGTAGGCAACTTTGGCTCTTTTATGACTCGTGGACTTCAACTCCCAGAATTCCTGAGCCAGCATGGGGGAACTGTGGCCCCCTTTATGACTCGTGGACTTCAACTCCCAGAATTCCTGAGCCAGCATGGCTCAGCTTGGAAACCTCTCCCTTTCCCCTCAGCATGGCTGGCTCAGGAATTCTGTGGGCAGGCGGGGTGGGGGATGGGGTGGGGTGGGGTGGCAGCGAAGCAGGGGCAGGGCAGGGGGTGGATCGGGGACGGGACCAGTTTTTGGGCACTCGGTCTCTAAAAGGTTCGCCATCACTGCTCTAGAAAGAGTGCAGAGAAGAGCCACAAAGATGATCAGGGGACTGGAGGCTGAAACGTATAAGGAACGGTTGCTGGAATCGGGAATGTCCAGTTTAATGAAGATAAGGACAAGGGGGGACATGATAGCAGTGTTCTAATATCTCAGCGGCTGCCACAAAGAAGAGGGAGTCAAGCTATTGTCCAAGGCGCCTGAAGGCAGGACAAGAAGCAACGGATGGAAACTAACCAAGGAGAGAAGCAACCTAGAACTAAGGAGAAACTTCCTGACTGTGAGAACAATTAACTGTTGGAACAACCTGCCTCCAGAAGCGGTGAATGCTCCAACACTGGAAGTTGTTAAGAAGAGACTGGACAGCCATTTGTCTGAAATGGTATAGGATTTCCTGCCTGAGCAGGGCGTTGGACTAGATGACCTCCAAAGTCCCTTCCAACTTTTGTTGTTGTTAATTGCGAAGTCGTGTCCGACCCATCGCGACCCCATGGACCACGTTCCTCCAGGCCTTCCTGTCCTCTACCATCTTCTGAAGTCCATTTAAGCTCACGCCTACTGCTTCAGTGACTCCATCCAGCCACCTCATTCTCCTGTCATCCTCTTCTTCTTCCAACTTTATTATTATTATTATTATTATTATTATTATTATTATTATTATTATTATTATTATTATTATTATTATCTTTTATTCATTAAACATGAACCTCAGTCAACTGAACATTTAAATTGGCTGGCACTGATGGTTGATGGTTATTATTATTATTATTACTTCACAACCATGTCACTAATTTTAACACGGCAGGGATTCAGTCAACGGGGGCTAGAAAAAACGTAAAACTCAGGTAACCAACGTCTCCCTTAGCAACCAGCAGTAAATTCTGGGCTCAGCTGTGGTTGTTGAGGGCTGCCCGTGCTCTCCGCGTGCGTCACTCCACTAGGAAACAGGAGAGAACTCCTTAACGGTGGGCAAGCAATTTGCAGAAATAAGAGATCTTCCCCAAGGATGCTGCAAACGGTTGCTAGGAAACGGGAGTTAGCTGCTTTTGCATCCAAAGGATTCCGGCAAGAACGATGGAGAATTCGGGAGACCCAATGAGACAGCTTCATACTGGAAGGGGTTGGCTAATTAAAACTTAATCCCACCTCCTGACACTCGCCCCCCAATCTGTCCAGTTCCCATCTTTGCCATCTGGGATTACGGGTAATCCTCGACTTACGGCAACTGATTTCAGTCGCTAAACGAGACAAGTTGTTCAGCGAGTTTTGCCCCGTTTTACGACTCTTCTTGCCACAGTTGTTAAATGAATCACTGCAGTTGTTAAGCCGGTAACATGGACTTTGCTCGTCCGAAGGTGGCAAAAGGGGATCACATGACCCCGGGGCAGTGCGACCGTTGTAACTACGAGTCAAGTGTCTGCATTTTGATCAGGTGACCACCGGGAAGCTGCAACGGTTGTTAAGTGTGAAAAGTCCCTTCGTCGTAGCCTCGGTCACTAAATGAACTCTTGTAAGTCACAAGGCTTACCTGTACTGGTTTTATTTCATGATTTTTATCTGCTGGGTTTCTATGATGGATGATTTTAATGTTTTTTTTTTAACCCTTTAATGCTTTGATGCTATAAGGCTAAGCCGTCCAGAAGTAATAATAATAATAAAGTTGGAGGGAACCTTAGTGGTCATCTAGTCCAACCTGATGCTCAGGCAGGAAACCCTATACCATTTCAGACAAATGGCTGTCCAGTCTCTTCTTAAAAACTTCCAGTGTTGGAGCATTCGCAGCTTCTGGAGGCAGGTAGTTCCACTGGTTAATTGTTCTGTCAGGAAGTTTCTCCTTAGTTCTAGGTTGCTTCTCTCCTTGATTAGTTTCCATCAGTTGCTTCTTGTCCTGCCTTCAGGTGTTTTGGAGAATAGCTTGACTCCCTCTTCTTTGGGGCAGCCCCTGAGATATTGGAAGACTATCATGTCTCCCCTCGTCCTTCTCTTCATTAAACTAGGCTGACCCAATTCCAGCAACCGTTCCTTATGCTTCAGCCTCCAGTCCCCTAATCATCTTTGTTGCTCTTCTCTGCCCTCCTTCTAAAGTCTCAACATCTTTTTTACATCGTGGTGACCAAAACTGGATGCCGTATTCCAAGTGTGGCCTTACCAAGGCCTTGTAAAGTGGTATTAAGACTTTACGTGATCCTGATTCTATCCCTCTGTTAATGCAGCCCAGCACTGTGTTGGCCTTTTTGGCAGCTGCAGCACACGGCTGGCTCCTATTTAAGTGATATGTCCACTAGGACTCCCAGATCCTTCTCACAGTTGCTACTATTGAGCAAGGTACCCCCTATACTATACCTGTACATTTGGTGTTGGCGTTGGATAAGAGCTGGGTAGCAAATAAATTTCATAAATAAATTTGCTTTGAGAGGCTGCAGATCGAGGTTCGTTGTTCATTTTATTAGCTTTTTTTTTAAGGCAACAATGAATTGCAACCTGTAATGGAGACATTGGTGAGGAAGCCTTTCCAGGTGGAATTGGGCACCAAGGTGGCAGTGTTACCTACCAGCAAAACCAGTTCGCTCGAGCCAGCTTTGGGGGGGGGGTGTATACTTATGTGGTTGTGTTGTGCTTGAAGATGGAGGGTAGGATTGGAAATTTAGCCTCGCTAACGCAACTCTTTCACCCAACCTCCATGTCCACTCCCCAAAGCAAGTCAGCAGCTGGAAGCCTTGGGCCAAATATTGCCCGTTAGCTGTTCAATCTCCAGATCAAGGTATCTGGCCACCTTCAAGCTCTCGTTTCAGTTTCTCCACACTCCATGAAGTTGTGGCAAGGGAGGGGGGAATTGAGGGGGCTGGAAGTGAAGAAGAGGGGGGCACAGTTTGCTGGTCTACATCCCCATCAAAGTTTTGGCAGCATGTCAACAAAACCCCCCGTACGGGAGGACCATTCCTTTCCACGATAAATCGGAAGGAGCCGTAAAGAGGAGACAGGAAGATGTTGGTGGCAGACCTACCCTTTTGTAGCCCTACCATGTTTCATTTCAAATTGGTCTGAGATTAAACCAGGTTAACAGCCCTGATATACAGAATCTTCCCCGGAGGGGCTACATGGCTCCCAGCATTTGAAAACAAGTTCTCAGATTTTTAAACACGGCTGATCTTGGGGCACACAACGGTGGATCACCAGATTTACGTCCCGGATGGAGCGAACGTTAAAATGCTGGAGGGGGGAAGAAAGAGAGAAAGGCAGAGACTGAAAGGATAACTGTGCTGTTTCTCTTTGGGTTTATAGGAAGGGGACTAAAACCCGGGGGCCAGGAGAGAAAACCACTGCATAACAGGCCAACTCTGTCCCACGTCTGGATAAATGTCAGATGTCAATCTGCTGGGAAAGAGATGTTGAATCTCTGCCGTTGTCACATGAACATGTCGTCATAGTCCGGAGGGCGAAGATGGTCAGGATTAGGCCTGAAAGAGGAACAAATGTCAGAGCATGCACAGATAATCCAAAAATAAACCCAGTAAACAGTGATCTTATATTAAATGATGGTTTATCTTATACTATCTACAATGTTATGCACCAGGAACAAAATACACACACGTGCTAATGCAGCAGGATCCAACACACCACAGTTACAGCAGGAAAGAGAAGAGAAACAACAGCAGCAGAGCCTTCCCTTTTATACAAAGCTCTTAAAGGGACACAGACCCTGCTGAGTCATTCACATCAGTACATCTTACATTACATAAGCCAGTTAGCTTTTACATCAGTGCCTTGACAACAAAGAATGCTTTAGGTCAAGGGCTCTCCAAACGTGGCCGTTTTTTAGACTGGCGGACTTCAACTCCCAGAATTCCTCAGCCAGCCATGCTGAAATATGGACCAGGAAGCAGACCTTCTCTGTGGTGGCCCCCACAACATGGAACAGGCTGCCCCCCCCTCAAAGGTAACCGTGATTCATCTTGTATGGCGATTCCAGAAGACAATAAAGATTGTGCTTTAGAAGTGAATATGTGTTGCTCAAGGTTGAACAATGGAATCCTTGGTGCTCTCTGAGCTGGGTGCTTTTCTTGCAGATGTTTCATGGCCCAACTAGGTAACATCATCAGTGCTGGAAGGGAGTGGGGTGTGTGGAGAGGAGGAAGAGGAGGAGGAGGAGGAGCAGGAGGTGGTGGATGACTGTGGGGTCCTTGGTGCTCTCTGAGCTTGATGGTTTTCTTGCAGAAATTTCATGACCCGATTAGGTAACATCATCAGTGCTGTTTATATAAACAGTGGACAATTCGCTCTCTTCTAGCACTGATGTTGTTATCTAGTTGGGTCATGAAAGATCTGCAAGAAAACCACCAGGCTCAGAGAGCACCAAGGACCCAACAGTCCTCCTCTTCCTCTCCACAAACACGACCCCCTTCCAGCACTGATGATGTTACCTAGTTTGGTAATGAAATGTCTGCAAGAAAACCACCAAGCTCAGAGAGCACTAAAGAGCCAGAGTCCTCTCTGCAAACTCCATTCCCTTCTAGCACTGATGATGTTACCTAGTTTGGTAACAAAAGGTCTGTAATAAAACAATCCAGCTCAGAGAGCACCAAGGACCCACACAGTTAAGTTTATTTATTTATTTGATTTTTACAGCCAGCCATCTCAGCAACCGATTCTCAGAAAGATGTACTTTTGCCTTCAAAATATTTTTCATTTTGCTTATTTTTACAAAAAAATTTTTTGCCTACTTTATTTATTTCGATGAGATGGGCAGCTAAAAATGGGATAAACAAATCAAAGAAGTAAAACGTTTTGCTTTACGACTCGGTTTTGCTTTACTTTTAGCCTTTTTGGCTTCTTTCTACTTTTAAAAGTTTTTCAAATATTTCAGGGGGTTTCGGCTTTTCAAAATACGGCCGATACGGTCTTTATGAATTTATTGCAATTTCTACGTTTTCCCCCAGGCCTTGCAAACTCGAGGGGATTATGGTCTTCAATGTGGTTTAAGGACATTTTGGGTTGGTTTTTTTTAATTGATGATTTAGCACCGAGATGGTTGATTGAAGCAGGAGGGAAATGCTGTCGAATAAATACATAATCCTAGGATAAATCCTGCAGTTGCGTTTACGTCAGATGCTTAACTCAGTTAGGGAGCTAATCTGTAGCCAGCAATCCCAGGCCATATGGATAAGCTGGGTTAAAACACGCTAAGCCACAAAACTAGTAGAACCGATCAAAATTAACCAAGGCCCAGATTAATTGTGGCACCCCTGAAGGCAGGTATGCACATAAATTACGGCATCTGAAATCAAATGTCAAGATAGTCCTTGACTTATGACTGCAACTGAGCCCAGAATTTCTGTCGCTAAGCGAGGCCATTGTTAAGTGTGTTTCCCCCGAGTTTTACAACCTTTCTCGCCACAGTTTGTTAAGTGAAACACGATCCCGGGACATTGCGACCGTCGTAAATATGAGTCAGTTGCCAAGGGGCTGAATTTTGATCCCGCGACCACGGGGAGGCTGCAATGGTCGTTAAGTGTGAAAAGCGGACCTAAGTCAGTTTTCCCCCCAGTGCCGTCGTATCTTCAAACGGTCACTAAATGAACTGTCGTAATTTGAGGACTGCCCGTATTTTTCTTTTGATTCCCGTGGGCACATTCCTAAATTTTAAGGCAGAATTTAGATTTAAGTTGTCCTCAATTTACAACTGATTGGATTAGTGACCGTTTGAAATTACGATTGATCAAAGAAAAAGGCGCAGGAAGTTCTAGACTTAACTTACAACTATTTGTAAAAGTTTAGCATCAATGTGTGTTGAAGATTCTCAACAAGAGCAAAAGGAAGACATTTTGAAAATTCAATTTTTCAGCAATTCGATGCAACAGAACTTCCGCCATACTTACCCACTCCGGCCGGCCCCCGGGGGTCCAAACGGGTCAAACCTGGCCCCGGGAGGAACGGAGCCAGGGGGGAGTCTGCTGGGGAGCCCAGAAGAGGGGTCCAGAACAGGATTCCGAAATCCTGACCGAAGCGGATCAAAGATCATTCCTCCTCCGCCTCGGCCGCTGAGCAAGAGAATCGAGAGTGAATTAGAGGCAGTTTGGTCTAGTGGTTAAAGCAGCAGGTTAGAAACCAGGAGATGGTAAGTTCTAGTCCTGCCCGTTAGGCAGAAAAGCCAACTGGGTGACTTTGGGGAATCACCAGGAGACTGGGAGTTCTAATCCTTCCTTAGGCATGAAAGCCGGCTGGGTGACTTTGGGCCAATCACCAGGAGATTGGGAGTTCTAGTCCTTCTCTAGGCATTAAAGCTGGCTGGGTGACTTTGGACCAATCACCGGGAGACGGTGAGTTCCAATCCTTCCTTAGGCATGAAAGCTGGCTGGGTGCGTTTGGGCCAATCACTGGGAGACTGGGAGTTCTAGTCCGTCCTTAGGTATGAAAGTTGGCTGGGTGAGTTTGGGCCAATCACTGGGAGACTGGGAGTTCTAGTCCTTCCTTAGGCATGAAAGCTGGCTGGGTGACTTTGGGCCAATCACTGGGAGACTGGGAGTTCTAGTTCTTCCTTAGGCATGAAAGCTGGCTGGGTGAGTTTGGGTCAATCACCATGAGACAGTGAATTCTAGCCCTGGCATAAATATGAAAGCCATCTGGGTGACTTTGGATCAATCACCAGGAGACTGGGAGTTCTAGTCCTTCCTTAGGCATGAAAGCTGGCTGGGTGACTTTGGGCCAATCACTGGGAGACTGGGAGTTCTAGTCCTTCCTTAGGTATGAAAGCTGGCTGGGTGAGTTTGGGTCAATCACCAGGAGACAGTGAATTCTAGCCCTGGCATAAATATGAAAGCCATCTGGGTGACTTTGGGCCAATCACTGGGAGACTGGGAGTTCTAGTCCTTCCTTAGGCACAAAAGCTGGCTGGGTGACTTTGGACCAATCACAGGAGACTGGGAGTTCTAGTCCTATCTTAGACATGAAAGCTGGCTGAATAACTTTGAGCCGATCACTAGGAGATGGAGAGTTCTAGTCCTGCCTTATTCAGGTATGCCAAGTGGGTGACTTTGGGCCAGTCGCCAGGAGACAGTAAATTGTAGTCCTGTCTTAGACATAAAAGCCAGCTGGGTGACTTTGGGCCAATCACTAGGAGACGGTGAGTTCTAGTCCTGGCTTAGGCACAAATACTGTCTGCATGACTTTGGGCCAATCATTCTCCCATCTCACAAGGTTGTTTTGGGGAAAATAAGAGAAAGAAAATTAGTATCACCATCTTGAGGTATTTTTTAAAGTAATAAAAGCGAGCGATGGGTTGGTTGACCACCTGCCCAAGGAAGCTTCTAGCTACCTGGGGAATTCTGGGAACTGAAGTCCACCCATCTGAAAGTCGCTAAGGTTGAGAAATGTGGAAGAACTGTAAAAAAGACAACCCTCCATGTGAGGAACCGACTTACCCCAAAGGATCCAGATCTTGTCTGCCGATATCAAACGGACTGAGTGGATCTGGCCTAAAACAGAACTCATTTTCATTACACTATCGGACATTAGGACCCTGAAATAGGGTGAAATGGAGACCCTCCTTGGCATTATAAAACCCCGGTGAGGCCACACCTGGAATATTACAGCCAATTTTGGTCACCATATCACAAAAAGGATGTTGAGAGTTTGAAAAAAATCCAGAGAAGAGCAACTAAGATGATCAAAGGCCTGGAGACTAAAACATTCGAAGAACGGCTACGGGACTTCTATTCTATTCTATTCTATTCTATTCTATTCTATTTCATATATTCTATTCTATTCTATTCTATTCTATATACTCCATTCCATTCCATATTTTCTATTCTATTCTATTCTATTCTATTCTATTCTATTCTATTCTATTCTATTCTATTCTATTCTATTCTATTCTATTCCATTCCATTCACATAGCGTGCCTCCCATCATTCTAGTCCTCAATGAGGGCCACCGATCCACAAATTAGGTGCGGTCAGCCCACCAGAAGCACAAGGCACTCACCAGTTGGGCTGCCGGCTGCCATGAGGATGTCGAGGTGGGATCCAGAGAGGGTCGTGGTCAGGAGGATTGGGTGGGGAGGGGTTCCTCTCCCGTTTTGGCTCTTCCTCCTTGGCGTTGCTTTGCCGCTTCGAGGTTTCAAAAGGGGAGATTATGTGATGCACAATCTGGGTCTGCAACTCCTCCACGTTCCGATACACCCTGTAAAAAGGGCAAGGAAGAAAAAGAGTCACCAGGAAGGCCAGGAAACACACAGTCCTCGACTTACGACCTTTCGTTTAACGTCCGTTCCAAATTATGACGGCCTTGGAAAAAAATGGGATTTATGACCTGTCCTCAAACTTAACAACTGTCACAATATAGATTGGGAGAGACCTGGCTCAAAAACAGCAACTGTGAGAGGGACCTTGGAGTCCTAGTGGACGATCGCTTGACCGTGAGCCAGCCGTGTGCAGCAGCAGCCAAAAAAGCTAACACAATCCTGGGTTGTATAAACAGAGTCATAGAATCAAGATCACATGAAGGGTTAATACCACTTTACAAGGCCTTGGTAAGGCCACACTTGGAATACTGCAGCCAATTTTGGTCACCGTATCACAAAAAAGATGTTGAGAGTTTGGAAAAAATTCAGAGAAGAGTAGTTAAGATGATCCAAAGCCTGGAGACTAAAACATACGAAGAACGGCTACGGGACTTGGGTTTGGCTAGTCTAAAGAAAAGAAGAAATAGGGGAGACATGATAGCAGCGTTCCAGTATCTGAGGGGCTGCCACAAAGAAGAGGGGGGTCCCGTTATTCTCCAAAGCACCAGAGGGAAGAACGAGAAACAACGGTTGGAAACTGATCAAGGAGAGAAGCAACCTGGAATTAAGGAGAAACTTCCTGACAGTGAGGACAATTAACCAGTGGAACAGCCTGCCACCAGAAATCGTGGGCGCTCCATCGTTGAAAGTTTTTAAGAAGAGACTGGACAGCCATTTGTCTGAGACGGCGTAGCTTCTCCTGCTTGAGCAGGGGGCTGGACTAGAAGACCTCCAAGGTCACTTCCAGCTTCTATTCTATTCTACCACTGCAGTGACAGGGTGGATGCTTGGCAACTGGTTCACATTTACGACCAGTTGCCGCATCCTGGGGTCACGTAATCACCTTCCCAGTTGGTTCCCCACCATAAACAACAATTGGATTCAGTGAACAATCACCTGATTTGATTAACCTCCATGGGGATTTGACCCTGATAAACACGGCCATCAATTTGATTCTGGTCACAAGATGACTTGCTTTGCGATGGTGCTGATTTAGGACGGAAATTCCAGTCCTAATGACGGTTGTAAATGGAGGACTACCTGTAACTGGGTGACTTTGGGCCAATCACCAGGAGACTGGGAATTCTAATCCTGGCACAAATATGAAAGCCATCTGGGTGACCTTGGGCCAATCACCAGGAGACTGGGAATTCTAATCCTGGCATAAACATAAAAGCCATCTGGTGACTTTGGGCCAATCACCAGGAGACAGGGAATTCTAGTTCTGGCATAAACATGAAAGCCATCTGGGTGACTTTGGGCCAATCACCAGGAGACAGGGAATTCTAGTTCTGGCATAAACATAAAAGCCATCTGGGTGACCTTGGGTCAATCACCAGGAGATAGTGAATTCCAGTTCTGGCATAAACATAAAAGTCATCTGGTGACTTTGGGCCAATCACCAGGAGACAGTGAATTCTAGTTCTGGCATAAACATGAAAGCCATCTGGGTGATTTTGGGCCAATCACCAGGAGACAGTGAATTCTAGTTCTGGCATAAACATGAAAGCCATCTGGGTGACTTTGGGTCAATCACCAGGAGACAGTGAGTTCTAGTTCTGTCATAAACATGAAAGCCATCTGGGTGACTTTGGGCCAATCACCAGGAGACTGTGAATTCTAGTTCTGGCATAAACATAAAAGCCATCTGGGTGACCTTGGGCCAATCACCAGGAGACAGTGAATTCTAGTTCTGGCATAAACATGAAAGCCATCTGGGTGATTTTGGGCCAATCACCAGGAGACCATGAATTCAAATTCTGCCTCGGCCATGAAAGCCAGCTGGCTGAATTGGGTCCATCATTAGGAGGCAATGAGTTCTAGTCCCACCATAGACATGAAAGCCGGCTGGGTATAACCATTGGCCCAATAGGAGGAAGGAGTATTTGGTATGTTCGCTGCTTTTGAGTTATTTATAAAAATAATAAAGGCGGAATATAAATCAAAATAAAGTCCAGGCTTACACTGCACAGATCCCAGGAACCCATGCAGCAGTGTGAGAAAAGACACCATTTTATGCCAACCCAACATTTTTCAGAGCCCCTCGTCAGATATATGAAAAGAACTTCAATCACCTGTCAAAATCGGCCAGATGTTCTGGGTCAATGTAGTCGGTCACTTTCAAGGTGAGATCCGCCACTTTCTGTGTTTTGGGATCCTGGATGGAGAGGGACAGAAACAACAGGGAAGCAGGAAGCTGAACGCCACGTAGGGTGTCCTAAAAGTGCTTCCCCCCCCCCCAAAAGGCAACTGGTCTTTCTTTTTTCTTTGAAAACCTTTTGCAAGGTTCTTCCAACTTGGCCCTTTTATGACTTGTGGACTTCAACTCCCAGAATTCCTCAGCCAGCAATGCCAGCTGTGCTGGGGAATTCTGGGAGCTGAAGTCCACCCCATCTTAAAGTGGTCAAGGTGGAGGAACGCTGGGCTAGAAGCTGGTGTCTTTCGCACTCCAAATGTTTGCTAGGCATTGGGAGAAGAATGGGGTGACCTGGCAGGTGGTACTCCCAGACCTATGTGTCACTCCCTTCCGGCTTCTGCTCCAGGTTCAAAAGAGACCAAAACCTTTAGGGCAGCCAATGACCAGTCCATAAGAGGTTGATTGCTTTGGGTTTACATCTCCATCCTTCAGGAGAAGAGTTAGGTACGGTGGCTTCTTCCCCTTTAGGGGAGCACGGATCAGTGCCCCCCCCCCAAAGCAGCCTCACCATGACGTTGAGAATGATGCTGTTGTCCATCAAAATGGCTTTCACCAGCAGGTCGTGAGAATCGTCCTTCAGCCGGTAGCGCAGAGTGTAGAGTTCCTTGTCGGCATTCCAGCCGGCGGGCAGCATTTCCGACTTCCTCTCGTTGGCGCCTGGCTGTAAGAAGACCCCAGGCAGAGGGCCCCGTTAAATGGGGGGTCCTTGGTGCTCTCTGAGTTTGTTTTCTTGCAGACATTTTATGACCCTACTAGATAATAGAATCAGTGCTAGGAGGGAGGAGGAGGAGGAGGGAGGAGGAGGAGGAGGGAGGAGGAGAACTGTAGGGTCCTTGGTGCTCTCTGAGCTTGGTGGTTTTCTTGCAGACATTTCATGATCCGGCTAGGTAACTTCATCAGTGCTACAAGGGAGGGATGTTTGTAGAGAGAAGGAGGAGGAGGAGGAGGAGGAGGAGAGCTACTATGGGCTCCTTGGTGCTCCCTGAACTTGGTGGTTTTCTAGCAGACATTTCATGACCCAACTAGGGAACATCATCAGTCTTAGAAGGGAGTGGGGTTTGCTCTGTTTATATGAACACCAGTGAATAACAGTTTATATGAAAAATAAAATAAAAATAAAATAAAATATAAAACAAAATATAAAATAAAATAAAATAAAATAAAAAATAAAATAAAATATAAAACAAAACAAAATATAAAATAAAATATAAATAAATAAATTAATTAAATAAATAAAAATAAATATCATCAGTCTTAGAAGGGAGTGGGGTTTGCTGTTTATATGAACACCAGTAAATAACAGTTTATATGAAAAATAAAATTTAAAAAATAAAATATAAAATAAAATATAAAACAAAACAAAATAAAAAATAAAATAAAAATAAAAAATAAATAAAATAAATAAATAAAAATATCATCAGTCTTAAAAGGGTGTGGGGTTTGCTGTTTATATGAACACCAGTAAATAACAGTTTATATGAAAAATAAAATAAAAATAAAATAAAAAATAAAAAATAAAATATAAAACAAAACAAAATATAAAATAAAAATAATATAAAATATAAAACAAAACAAAATATAAAATAAAAATAAAAATAAAATAAAAATAAAAATAAAATAAAAAATAAAATAAAAATAATAAATAAAATAAAATAAAATAAATATCATCAGTCTTAGAAGGGAGTGGGGTTTGCTTTGTTTATATGAACACCAGTAAATAACAGTTTATATGAAAAATAAAATAAAAGAAATAAAATAATAAAATAAAATATAGAACAAAACAAAAAATAAAAATAATAAAAATAAAATAAAAAATAAATAAAATAAAACTGTCCATGGCACCTGAATTTCTGAAGCATTGGCTGGAAACATTGCTTAAGGTTTTGTCACCCCGCCCCCCATCAAGGCAGTCCTGCTTAGTGGTGACCCCTGAAATATGGGCTCCCTTCTCAGAACCGGCACCCTTCTTATTATGGGATTTTTTGCAGAGCTGTAAAGATTATTTTCATATTTCAGGTGGTTAGTTTGCAGTTTGGAAAACTGGGCCATTTTGTGCAATGCTTATATGGATTTTATGTAGACAGGGCTGTGGTTTTCATGTGTCACTTTAAAATATCTGGACTTCAACTCCCAGAATCCCTCAGCCAGAAATGCATTCTAGGAGCTGAAGTCCAGACATGTTAAAAGCAGCTCAGATTGAAAAGCTTTTAGATCAGGGCTCTTCAAACTTGGCCCTTTTATGACTGGTGGACTTCAACTCCCAGAATTCCTCAGCCAGGCACGCTGGCTGAGGAATTCTGGGAGTTGAAGTCCACAAGTCATAAAAGGACCAAGTTTGAAGATCCCTGTTCTATAGAATATATAAGGCAGGTATGAGTATTTTGAGGAAATCTTGAAGGAACATTCTGGAAAAAAAGAGTAAATAGAGGCCTAGTTCAGATTTTTGTTGGCTGCTTTGTGGCTCCATAGCTGGAAGATAGATAATTATCACTAAATGTAGCATGCCTGGCTGAGGAATTCTGGGAGTTGAAGTCCACACATCATAAAAGGGCCAAGTTTGAAGACCCCTGGTTTAGGACTACATACCTGTATTACATTCTTTATGAGGGGGAAAAAAAGCAGAAATCTTACCCTTGTTCTACATTTAGTGATAATTATGTGTCTTCCAGCTGTGGAGCCACAAAGCAGCCAACAAAAATCTGAACTAGGCCTCTTATCTACTCTTTGTTTCCAGAATGTTTCTTCAAGATTTCCTCAAAATACTCATACCTGCCTTATATATTCTATAGCAGGGGTCTTCAGACTTGGCCTTTTTATGACTGGTGGACTTCAACTCCCAGAATTCCTCAGCCAGCAATGCATTCTGGGAGCTGAAGTCCAGCCCTCTTAAAGGTGCTAAAGTTGAGAAACAACAACCCAGATCCTTGAGTTCCTTCATAGTTTCCAGTCTTAAACCTTATCTATCACCTGAGTCTTGGGAACTGGATGGATTGCTTAAATTAATTAATTCTATATACTGCCCATCTTCTCCATAGGGCAATTACCGGATAGTAGGTAGATGGATGCCTTATTAATAATCGACAAATTAATCAATGAAGGAGAATATTTGTAGCACAGGGCTGACATGAGGGGTCCTTGGTGAACTCTGAGCTTGCTTGTTTTCTTGCAGACGTTTTATGACCCAACTAGGTAACATCATCAGTTTTAGAAGGGAGTGGGATGTGTGGGAAGGGGAGGAGGAGGAAAAACTACGGGGGTCCTTGTGCTCTCCGAGTTGCTTGTTTTCTTGCAGACGTTTCATGACCCAACTAGGCAACATCATCAGTGCCACTGGAGTGATGATGGCTAGCACGGACGACGTTACCTAGTTGGGTCCTGAAACGTCTGCAAGAAAACCAGCAAGCTCAGAGAGTACTAAGGGTCCCACACTTCTCCTCCTCCTCCTCTTCCTCCTCCCCCCAATCCCCACTCCTTTCTAGCACTGATGATGTTTCCTAGCTGGGTCACGAAACGTCTGCAAGAAAACCACCCAGCCCAGAGAGCAACAAGGACCCCACAGTCCTCCTCCTCCTCCTCCTCCCAGCAACCCCCCCTCCCCTTCCAGCACTGACGCTGTTCCTTAGCTGGGTCCCGAAACGTCTGCAAGGAAACCAGCAAGCTCAGAGAGCGCCCAGGACCCCCGGTTGACCAATGAATTTCATCAATAAAAAAAATAAAATTAAAATGAATCCAAAACGAAGACACGGCTTCGCTTTCGTTTTTCTTTAAAACAAAAAAAAATCCAAAATAATGCACTCCGTCCCATTTCCCCCAAAACTTTCCCCTCCCACCCCCACCATCCCCGGAATGCACGGGGGGAAAAAAAGGGGGGGGGAGAGAGGGACGCGCGAGGCCCGGATCCGAAGCGCCCGCCTTGCTTTGACGGGCCAGGCAGGAGTTGCAAGCGGGCGCCCTCCTTGCAGCAGCCCTTTCTGCGCGCTGCCCCGGACGGATCTCGGCCTGCGCGTGGCTTAGAGAGTGGGGGGGGGGGGGGAAGGACGTGTGTGGGGGGGTCTCACCTGATCCCCGGGCCCGAGGCAGCGATAGTCGCGCGTGATCAGCTTCCAATGCACGAAGCAGAGCAAGGCGTCCTGCGCGCAGCCCAGCTCGGGCGCCACCGAGGTGTAGAGCAGCTCCAAGCCGGCCATGGTGCCTCCTCCTCCGCCCCTGCAAAACAAGGGCTCGGGAAGGAGACGAAGGCCCGGCTCTGCCCCGGCCAGACCCGCCTCCTCGTCCGGGAAAGCGAAAGTAGCCGACGGAGAAGCGTCCCCGCCCAGCCCCGGCGCTCCGCCTTCCCCGGCGCGCAACAGAGCCATCAGCTGGGATGCTGCGAGGAGTCTCCTCCCCAACCCTCCCCGCCCCGGCTGAGACTGCAGCGCCCATGCTCCGCAGCCCGGCCGGGGGTAGGGGGTGGATAGGTGGGTGGGGAGGATGGGCTGGAGGTTGCAGCCTGGAGCATCGGGGGGGATTCATAAAGGGGAAGGGTTGTAGCCCAGGTTGAACTAGGGGGGGGCGCTTGGGGCTCTCTGAGCTGGGGGGGCTTTCTTGCAGACGTTTCGGGACCCAACTAGGGAACGTCATCAGTGCTAGAAGGGAGTGGGGTGTGTGGAGAGATGGTGGAGGAGGAGGAGGAGGAGGAGGAGGAAGAAGAAGAAGAAGAAGAAGAAGAAGAAGAAGAAGAAGGGAGGGAGGAAGGAAAGAAGGGAGGGAGGGAGGGAGGGAGGGAGGGAGGGAGGA